CAACTGCAGAATGCAGAGCCATTGCATTAAAAGTGACATGTCTCTATTATAACCTATAGCTTCTCAGCAAAGTAAAAATCTGTGAGCTGGTACTAGAAAAATAACAGTTCTATAAGCTACTTAACTTTACTGGATAGGGTATAAAATAGCTGTTAAAATCATAAAAACTTACCAAATATGGCACCCAAGAAAGGGGACAAAAAGATTTTTTGTGTGTGGTTGCTTCTTTGACAAACAATTAGTTCTCTATTCTCCTACAAAAAATTAAAGTACCATTAAGAGAAAAATTTCAAAAGTGCCAAGAAGACGTATCTGAAATGGAAATAAAGTTGAAAAGATAAATAAAATAAGCATTCCTTTGCTATATTTGGTGGAGTCCTGCAGAGAAAAAAATTCCAGCTAGGCAGCATTGAGACATAGTTTATTAATGCAGTTTTCCCCACAGCAGGACACAGAAAGAGAAACTGGTAAAACAGTCACATTAAAAAATTATGACTCTTACATCTGATCTTTATGAATACACAAAAAAGAAACTGTCCTCCTGAGCCATTCTTGGGCTATGTGGAAGCAGAGATGTAAAGAATTATTAGGGGTTCTTTTTTGCCTCTAAAGCATTATTTGCTCATACATGCTTAGAGCACACTGAAAGTTACTTCCCACATTCCGGGGATTTTAGAAGTATTTATTTAAAAAACCCTACGGAAGATTTTGAGTGGTTCACTCAATTACATTTTGAATGAAGCATTTCAGTCTTGTTTTCAGAGTCTACAAAATTAAAGACTGTTTGTATTCCCTTTGGGGGGAAAATTCAGTGGGTGGTAAACTGGAATTTCCCTAGAATCTGGGAGCTGGAAAGAGCTTACTGATGAGCTAAGCCAGAGTTTTGGCTCATGTGAGTTATGCCCCTCTGATGAATTATGAAATCAATTTGGGGGGCATAATTAGCATTAGGAAGTACAGGAGAAAAGAGCACAATTGAATAAAAGAAAAATTGTATGTCATATATACTGTTTGATGAGACTGTTTTTCTCATGTGTCATGTATGAACATGTACTCTCTCTGTGTGTGTATGTGTGTGTGTGTGTGTGTGTGTGTGTCCTGGGTCACAATGGAAAGTTGTGTCATACTGTAATTCTGGAAACTACCAGCCTAATCAAACCTTCTATATAGAACTAGAGCCAGAGAGGGAAGAAGAATGACTTTCTGAATTCACAAGAGAAGTCAGAAGGAAACTGGCTCTCCTGACTCTGAGAACCCTTTCCATTAGACTTTACTTATCAAAATATGTCTGGAGATCATTGCCAACTACTGCCCCCACTGATTTCTGTGATGGTTAATATTGATTATCAACTTGACAGGATCTAGAATCACCTAGGAGACAAACCTCTGGATACATCTGTGAGGATGCTGTAGATTGGGTTGAAAAGAGAAGGCCTACCCCAAGTGCAGGGAGCCTCCCTCCATGGGATGGGGTCCTAGACTGAACATAAAGGAGAAAGTAAGGGGCTGGAGAGATGGCTCAGTGGTTAAGAGCACTGGCTGCTCTTGCAAGAGCCAGGTTCAGCTCCCAGCACCCCACATGGTGGCTAACAATCATCTATAACTCCAGTTCTAGGGGATCTGACAGCCTCTTCTGACTTTCTCAGGTATTGCATGATATAGGTGCACTTAAATATATGCAGACAATACACTCAAACACATAAAATAAAAGTAATAAATTAAAAAAAAAAAGAGAAAGTAAGCTGAGCACCAGCATCCATTTTTCTGCTTCCTGACTACTGATGCGATGTGGCCTTACACTTCTGCTGCCATGACTTCCCTACTATAGTGGACTGTACCCAGTGACTCAAAATAAACCCTTCCTTCTTGAAGTTGCTTTTGTCGGGTACTTAGTCACGCGAACAAGAAAAGTAACTAAAACCGTACCAAACCTCAGCAGTTGATTTTCTGCTCCTTCCGGAGTTTTTATGCATTTAGATCAATTGGGTTTCCTTTTCTCTTTCTCTAACATTCCTACTGCCCTTCTACTCTTTGGGGATCAGTGGTTGTGTGGGATGAGGCAGGTGCACAGAGGGGCAAATAAGCACCAAAAGTCGAATGATCTGTGACTCATAAATACCTCATGGTAGTTCAGGAGGTTGCAAAACTCCACAGCTCACTGCTCCCTGAAGCTGACAGGCCACATGAGAAACAGAATTATAGTCTCCTTGTGAGAAAGAGGGAAGTATATATGATGATTCTCATAGAGAATGTCTTCAGAAATTAAGAGGACTAGCTGACAACCTAGTGGGCTCTAGATACTTCCTACCAGACTCACCCATTCTAGCTGGCTCCTGAACCAAAATAGAAGCATGTAGAAAGTGTCCTTATAACTGCAATGATAAAGCTAGATTATGAGTGAGGGCCTTGCCTGGAACCCAAAGTGTCTGGTTTTGACTTAGAGGAGAAATGATCTACCACTTCAATAAATTCCTATTGAATATCATAAATATTTACTTATTTAATCCGCACAATCATCCACAAGGCTTTAGGCACTTTCCCAGCTATGGCTATAGTTAGAAGGCTGAGAAGTGTCAAGATGTGCTAAAATAATTTGTTTTTTTTCTTTCTAATTTGAAGACAGGAGGGTGAGCATGCTTAATGGAGTTTAGAGCTATGTCATTGATGGGGTGAATTAATCAACAGACATATCCAAGGAGAAAGGTCAACTGCCTACTTTTTCTTGGCAGAAGAAATTGGGAAGAGAATTGTTCTTGCAAAGATTCATCACTTTTTGATGCTTTCCAGAAGCAGTGATGGATTTGCAATGAGCCATCTACCTTTTCTTTTTCTTTTAAATATCGCCCATGTATTTGTAGTATGGCTACACGGGGTCTGCTGGGTCCTGAAACCACCCATTTAAACCCACATGGAGCTCAAACTTTTCCCCTTGGCTTACTGAATTGATGCTTGCATAGTGCTGGAGGAGGGTCCTCAACAAATAATTTGCTTTATTAACTTAGGACCACATGTTAAAAACCAATCTTGACCTTGGAACAGTTAGATTCAGCTTTGATGAACTGGACTGGACATTTACTGAAGCATAAGGGGGAAAGATTTTTTTTTTCTCAAGGAGGAATATGAAATGATTTTTTTTCATGCTTATTATGTGTTTGCATACTTTATATGTTAACATCTAAATCCCACAATACTCTGGTCCAATCTCCATTTCACAGATGAGGGAACTAAGTTAAATGACTTGTTGAAGGTAAATAGGTGAGGGAATTTATTTAGATTATAGTCTGCCTGCAGAACCCATTACTCTTTTCCAACTCATACTGCAAAGTTTTTTTTCCTCCTTTTGAAAAATGAATTGTCTCTAGCAGCATTCACTGATCATAGCACAACTTTAATGAATCTTTCTATATCCCAGCCTATTGACTAGTCACAAGGAACAGCAACAGTTAAAGCCCTTTGTCTATAATTAAGCCTTGGTTCCCTTAACAACAGCACCATGTAATTAAACGGATTTTTCCAGCAGGCAGATATGGTTCACTAAAGAATCTGAGAAGAGCCCTTTACATTATGTTGTTTCTTGTTCATGGTTAACCTTGGTCAAGTCTGGGCTTGGAGTGGAAGAACAGGAAGAATGTAGAGAATGCTGCTGGCCCATAACTTGCCAGTGCCAAAACTGTATCCCAGCACAGTGCCTTTCCTTTGCAACACACAAAGTGCCTAACTTTATTCCTGTACGTTGTTTTCCTCAATGAACGTGTTGAGGAAAAATGCTGTTTGCCTAATATTTACCCTTTTCTTGAAGGAGCCTCTTTTAACTCTGTCAGCAAATCTCACAGTTATTAATCATCAGAAATGAAAAAATGTCTTTTTTCAAAAGTGTAATTATCAGAGGTCTCACCATGTCTCGAAAAAAGACCTATTTGCCATTATCAGCACATTGTGTGTTTAGTCTGTGAAAAAAATTGGCTTACACCACAAAGTCTATGGATTGTAATTTTCTTCTTGCCTAGCATAGGCACTGAAAATATAAGAATGCCACTAAATAGTTAATTTACACACCAAGTTGCAGTGCTAAATGAGAACACACAGAGCCTTAATATCTTCCGGAGTCTATAAAACTCTAGGTCTACAAATGCAGATCAATTAAAGTCATCACTGAAAGTTGCTAGAAATCAAAGGCCACTAGACAAAAAGCTAATAGTCAAGATCACTTGGGCACAGATACCAAGCCATAGGCTGAGAAACAGATAAAACAGAACCTGTTCCTCCTGAGTTAAAAAAAGAAAAAAAAATCCAAAAATATTTTGTTTTATGCTCCCCAAAGGCAAAGATACAAGTGTCATGTACTAAAGTACTTACTGTACTTTTTTTGTCTCAGTGGCTGCCCTGGGAGAACATGCAGTCACTACCCCATAGAGCTGTCCAACCTCCTCAGAGCACGGGGGTCCAGATGTTGGAGATTATGATCTCTTGAATGCAATGTATGTCAGCAGATTAAAGTGCAGAATTAATTTATGACACTCTCTACCTGTTGGCAGTATGCGCTCATCTTATTATCTGCACACATTGTGATGCACGGTAATTAGAAAGCTGAAAATAACGGACAGCACATGACCACTGTAATTAAGTTTAAAAGGCAGATTTGTCATGTTTTAGTCTGCACATCTGGTTCTATCATATTGGCCAAACGATTAATTTAAGAATGTATTACAGTGAAATCCTTTCATATTGGTTTTATTTGCCAGGAAACAGAGCACTTTTCTCCCATCTCTCCCCCTCCAACATTCTAGGCTGAACTCAAGTTTCCAGCCTTAGGGTTCATCTGAGTGAGGACAGGGAATCAGCTGTAGTCTTTGTTCAATTGTCTGAGTTCCACCACTACACCACACGGGATGGATGCGCATCCTTTGTTTTAAAGAGCGCATCTACAGGAGAGAAAACAACAAACATTATTCTGAAAGCAGATAAACACCAGGAACCTCAAACAGATTAAACCACAGGAATTAAATTCTAAATTTTAAACTCCCTTTTATTGAAATATAAGTTTGTTTAGTCTATTTACACCACACTTTATGCACATATATACATAGAAGGCAAATTCTGTCAAATAAAAAGTTTTTAATAAAAAATAAAAAAAAAGTAAAGTGCACGGAACTGATTTTTTTTTCCTTCTAGTGAACATCATCATTGTCAAGATTTTGGTCAGTTGGGAGGGGTAAGAAGAAATTCATCATTTGACTCAGTGCTTACAACTGCGTCCTGAATTCAGCCTTCAGGCCAAAATGACAGGAGTTCAGGAATGAGTCAGACAAATTGCCAGGGTCTGCCGGGCTCCCCAGGGCGTGGAAGTCTGCTCTCTTTGTCCTATCCAGAGCTGTCCCTCTGCTTGAAACAGTGATCTCACCCTCGCGGCGCTGGAACAAAGGGAGAACACAGGAAGGGGGCTCCACCAGCCCATGACATAGCCCTGCTCCCGGGCCACCAGCGATGTGTTTGGTAGGAAACTGCAGAATTAGCTCAAGGGCACAAACGGAAGTTTTCCTGTTTCGGAAAAGGAATGGCGGGGGGGGGGGGGGCAAGAATGAGCTGCACATCCCACAGAGACCACCACCACCATTCAGGGACCCAAACCCCAGCAGCCAGTTTCTTCGGATCCAAATCTCCACGCGGGTACTGAAAAGAATCCTTTTATAGGCTGGGAGGAGGGAATGTTACACTTCTCGCCTCGCTGAGTTTGCCCTTCCAGAACTTGGAAAGGAAACAACCTGGGATGAAAAGAAAGGAGCAGGTGGGCAAATCACAAGTTTTTAGACACCTTCAGGATCAGGCCACTGGCTGGGCGTCGGCCAGCTGGTCCTAAGCCTTGGCAGAGGCTACAGCCCTTCCCCCATCATTCATACCCCAGTCCCCGTTCGCGCTCTTCTGGGTGTCTTAAGTCCCCGGCCGGTGGCCGTACTTGGCTTTGCAGTGCAAAATGTGCTTGGCTAAGAAGTCCAGGCGGCGCTGTAGCAGCTGAGCGTGGGGGTCTGCGAGCGCGGCCAGCTCGGGGAAGCGAGGCTCGTAGCGCCGGTAGAGGCGCAGCAGCCGGGCCGCCGCGTCCTGACCCCGGTGCAGCTCCAGTACGCGCCTGGCAGTGCGTTCCCGGAACACGCACACTGACTGCAACAGCGGCTCGTTATATTTGTCCCACATGCCTGCCACCCGGTAGCCGTGCACCAGGCCCGCCTCATTGTCCAGAAAGACCAACGCCCCTCCCGGTCCTCGGTGCAGGTTGCTCGTGGCGCGCTGCATAATGCGCGGGTCCCATTGCAAGCTAAAGAGGTTGCTTACGAGTCGGTCGAAGTTGGCCGTCAGGTAGTCGAAAAGGATCAGATCGGTCCACTGCACCAGGTCCACCAGCTCTGCCAGGCTGAGGTTGGCAAGCTCGCCCCCGGCATCGCGCAGGGGCCGCAGACGACCGTGCTCTGATCGCCAGGGCTCTGGCACCACCACGTCGGTGAGGTTAGGCAGCCAGCGAGTCAGGCTCACCACACTGCCCTCGGTCCAGTGCGCGGTGCGCAGCTCCTCCTGCACCTGTGCCCACTGCGCGCCCCGAGCTTCCACCCGGGCCAGTGCCAGCGGCGGCACGTGGCGCTGGAGGCCCAGCAGCCTTGCAAGGTAGTAGGACAGGGCCTCGCCCTGGATCTGCTCCGGGTTGATGCCGTAGCGCACGCAGGCACGGGTGCCGTCGGCAAAACGGGCTAGGCGGTTGGAGCTTCGCCCGCAGCCCCCGCGATCCAGGGCCACCACCCGAGCACCCCGCGCCACCTCCAGCCACGCCGCCGCCTGGGCCTCGGAAAAGCCCCGGGGCACCTGCTCCTCTAGGCTGCGGCTCCAGAAGACGCCCCCATGCACCGCCGCGCGCTCGTCGGGTCCAGGCAGCCAGGCTTGCACGTGCTGCCCGCGCTCGTCCGGGTGCCTTCCGGGCGGCTTATCCGCGCCGGCCGCCAGGGTGAGCAGCGCCCGGAAAGTTTTCAGGGAGCCGCCGCGGGCGTCCCACGCCAGGGGCGGGGGCAGAGGGAAGCGAGGCTCGGGCGCTGGGCCGCCACTCCGGGTCGGGAGCCTGGGGAGCCGACCTTCGGGCGGCCCGGAGGCTGACAGCTCGGTCCGCGGTGGCAGGAGCCCGCCCCACAGCGCCAGCAGCGAGCCCACCGCCACCAGCCAGAGCCCCGCGGTGGCGGCGGCGCCCCGCATCCTCCGCCCCATGCTCCTGCCGGCGTGCCGGTGCCGCCGCCGCTTCAAGCCAAGCCCGGGCGCCCGGGTGCGGGCGGCGAGGC